ATTCCTCCCAGTTTCTGTTTCCTTGGGTATACAACTTTGTATACCTACTTCATTATTTTACACATCATACATTAACTATGTGTTCACACTTTGCTTTTGTCATTGGTTAAGCTGTGTCATGCCAAAATATTGATGACTTGAAATATGGCGCATCCCAAAATCTGTAGGTGAATCGTTCAAATACTTCCCTGTTGCTCTTGTTTTAAGTTGTTGTCTTTATATACAAAACTCTTGCACAGTTGTCCCCTTTGACCCCAACATAGGATGGCTGTTCTCACCTCCTCCCTCTGCTTCAGCCTCCCCATCTTTCTTGCTGATCCATGAACACTCCAGACTTGCTCCTGGGCTTTTGCGCTCAGTAAATCTGGGGTCTGGCATCCCCTCTTCCCCAAAGAGCTGCATGCCTCCTTCCTCCGCCCCAGGACACCCGTGCCACCATTCACCTTATCAGGGAGCCTCCTTGACTGCTCTGTAACAGGAGTGGCCATCTCCGTGTGCTCTCTGCACTTAGTCTCTTACTATTTGGGAGCATCTGGGTTTTTAAACTGAAGCTTGTTGTGTCTCCCCTCACTGCAGGTGAGCCCTGCTAGGGGAGGGGTTTTGTCATTTTGTTCACTTCTGTATCCCAAGTATTAACACCTGCCTTGCACATAGCATGTGCCAGGTCCATAGATTTGAATAAAGGACCATGTGAGGGAGCAGCTGTGTAGGCTGGAGGTGGGCATATTCTTGAAGATTCTGACCCATGACACCTAATGAAATTGACACCTGTCTCCATGTTTTGAGTTGTTCTCCAAGAAGAAATGCTTACAGAGGCCTCTTTCCCAGCAACCTCCAGTGATGTCTTATTAATGTTTTTCATTTTGCGAAACCAGTAGTTGGCAAAAATGATAYTCTTTTCCTATTTTCTATTACAATTGCACATTTTACTTTTATAGCCACCTGGTACAAGAATTTTAGTCCCGTATGTCTCCTTTATTAGAGAAAGAAATCTTTCCATAAACTTTTTCCAAACTCCTATCCCAAGCCACAGGCCAGGGGCATGAGGCCACCGTGATGGTCTCTGGATAGCCAAGATTCACTTCCAGGTGTCAAGGAGGGGCCTGACCAATGCCAGAGAAAAAACTGGATTCTGTTAGCAAATCCAAAGACAGATGGCTGTGGAAAGGCAGTCCTGGGGTCTTTCACATGCTGAATAGACCCTTCCACTGATTGACCTGTGTCCTGATTATCTGATGAAAGTGAGCAAAGATGCCATGTTTTCATCTGACTTTTTTTACTGAAATAATTTCATAATCATTATTGCAAACTGGGAAAACACAAAAAGGTTAAAGAAAAAAAGTAAACAAGAGTCCAAAACAATTTTTTTTTTTTTTTTTGTGGTGCTGGAGATCGAACCCAGGGCCTTATGCACACAAGGTAGGCACTCTACCAACTGAGCTATATCCCCAGCCCTAAAACAATTATTTTTGATATTTATTTTTTTAAAGTTTTTCTCAACACTTTTACTGGACTTTTCCTCAGCATATTTTTATATAAATATAATAATTCAATGTAAGCTTGCAGCAGTGTTCACATCTAACGCATAACAACCATTTTTTCATTAAATATTTTTTTTTCAATATACTCTTTGAACTTTCATGCCTGCGTGACATCCTGTGCATTTGGATAAGTCTCACATCATTTCTTGTTGTTGAATGGAAAGTCATTACATAATCCCATAAGTATCTTAATGTATCACCCTTTCTCAGGTTTTAGGATCCCATTTATGGGATAAATTCTCAGAAGTGAATTTGTTCTGTCAAAGGGCTTGGATATTTTTACTGATGTTATCAAATAGTTTTTCAAAAGAATTGTCCATTTGCACAGTCGATGGTAATGTTTGTAAGTGGAGCTGGTTTATGACCATTCATTTATATCATGTGAAAATGGGTCATCTGCCTTATCCCTTTTGGACCTGGAACAGTTGGAACTTCATTTAGAATAAACACTGATAAAGGCTAAAATAACTCTAATGGTTGTGGTTCAACAGTCTCCCCTGGCAGCTTGTTGCAAATTTTAATAGCCTAAGAGGGTATATTTCCTTTTATTTTCTTCTCCCCTCTGCTATTTTCCTCCCTCCCTCCAGGTTTAAAACATGTTTTCCTGGCTATAGTTAAGCCCCAGTACTTCTTGTTCTGTCTTTGTTGATTAATGAGCATAATTGACCCCTGTTGTCTCTATTATACGATCCACAGCAATTTGTTTTTATGTAGCRGTTATTTTCTGAGCTGTCACAAAAAATGCCTTACAAAGAGAGCTCATTATCAGCTCAAAGGAAAAGAATTTTAAGTGATGAAGTGAATAAATGTCCCTAAGAGGAGGAGGAGGAGGAGGAAAAGTCTAAGCCTTTCCAATGTTCAAGAAAAATAGTGAGTTTTGGGGGCAGAATCACTAATTATTGCTTAAACTGTACCCAGCAAGACTTGATTATATCTAGAAATTATTTGATTAAAAATGGCTCCCCACAGTCACTGTGGGGGCCTGGGCATATGCAGGGTTGAATGTAGACCCAGGCAAACATGGAACATGACATTGTGTGGAGTGGGTTGAAATCCATTAGAAGCTGGTTGTAGAAAACCCAGCTAAATGTCCACATTTAAGAAATAGAATGACAGAAAGTTGGATAGTTTTATCTGAATAGATATTTATTGTACAGAATATCCAAATGCGGTGTTGTATCAGTATCAGAAAATGTTTTGCTTTGTATCTGTTTAGCACCCACGATCTCATAAGCTCACWAAATTAACTAAGGAAGGAACAGAGGTCCAGTGAGGAGACACAGAAGGAGGTCTTGACCCTTACAAAGCCAGCCTGCCAGGCAGATGGGATCCTGGTGTTGTGGGCATTCACCTGGTCTTCATGGATTGAGTTGGGATGTTTCTAATCCTATTACACTCTTGTCCTAGTAGAAGAAAAGAAAATTAATCACAAAGAGATGGAAAGAAAATCCTAAGTAGCAAGAGTAAAATCATTAGAAATGGCAGCTCTGAGTCATAGAGTATGTCAGCCAGAGGGAGCCTTGAAGCTTTGCTCTTTATTTTGTGGCCTCATAGATGCAGAAAGTCAGGCATGTGTTTATTTTCACCGTGGTCCACCCTGTGACCCACAGAGCTGAAGCTAAAACTAGCCCTCCTCTTTTCTGGTTCAGTGCCTTCTGTGCTGTCAAGAAACTTGTGACCAKACCAAGTGTCTTGAGGCTCACGGTCCCTTGTACTCTAATACATGAACATGCAGATTGGCTCCAAAACAATTCCAAACTGTGCTCACAGTGCAGTGTTCTATCAATTGTAAAACAAACTCGAATTCCATTACCTTATTTAAGGCATTCTTTGTTTTGTGTGAAAATATTTGAAGTACCTTAGTTTTGTCCTTCCAGAAACCTCTGATGCAAGAGCCATTTAGCAGGAGGGATAGCCCTGAAGAGAAAGGTTAGTGGAAAGACAGGCAGAAGAGCTTCAGGAACCACTTTGAAATTACCTGAAAAGAGAATATAGTATTTGGAAGTATCATGTCACTTTGTGGAAAGAAATGAGTTGTCAGTCTTTGTAGAATGAAATAGATGTCTTAAGAAAAAGGAGGACATTCCTGCCACTGCTGGTCAGTGGGGCATGGGTGGGTCAGAGGTCAGTCTTTGGAACCAGAGGAGAGCTATTTTCTTGGTTAATAGCTCTTCCTGCAATCCTGGGTGGGGGGGTGGACAGTAAATTGAACTTAGCTAATGAAAATAACACTTTTGTTTTGGGAGCATATCTTTTTTGTTTTGGCATCCATATCTTGAGTTCCTTTAATAATTTCTGTAATTAATGAATCTCTGCATCTGTGGGGATTTAGTAACTTAAAGTCCCAACATGAAGTGAATCTACAGTAGTGGAGGTTATGACACTATGTATATGAGAAATTGGGGGACTAGTGTCAAAAGTATACTTCAGAAGTCCCTAATGGATTTATCTTGCACATACTTCAACTAATAAAGAAAGCACACCGAACCAAGTGTGTGACAGTGACATTGATCACATTGTAGTTTAACCACTGTTGGTCTGTACTTCCCACCTCCGTCCATTGTTAACTGGAGAAGTTTAAGCACCTCACCCCTTTTCCTTGGCTTTGGCTCATTGGCTTGACTTGGAGGCTTTTCCTCTCTGTGTGTCTTTCTCATTTATGAGCCGGTGCTGTTTCCCCTCATCTCCTCCCGTGTCTTCTGTGGTTGCCATGATGGATTTATACTGTGTAATTGCAATCTCCTCTCCTCCAGAAATGAAGTCAGTAAAAGAAAGAAAAATCACACTGCATTTAATTAAATTTAGTGCATGTGAATAGTCATTTCTCAAACCCTTTCCTTAGAATCTCCAATTTCTCCCCAAAGCTTCAAGCCAGAGAGGCCCATCTTTCCCAATTCTCTCTTTCCTTCGTCCTTGCAGTTCAGTTCCACGGCGTGGTTTATATTCTTCCTCTTCCTTTGTCTTTGAGGGTTTTGACTCCTTGTTTGTCTTCTGCTCTTTCTTCATTTATTCTTCTAAGAACCATCTCCCAACTGTATTTTTCCCCAATAAATGCTCATTATTTCTTTGAAGATACTGAAAGTAAAGTTGCTGTGGTCTTGGCATTTATAGAAGGGAGGTGTCTTTGTCTGTTTCTGCAAAATGGATCGTAAGAATGTTCTGTGACATTCCTTCTCTCTGCTGTTCTGTACCTGTCAGCAGGTAAGTTCCCCCTTCTTCAGCTGGTTTCAGGTCCTSCAATATGATGATGGCACTCCTTGCCTATATTAGATGTTTTGCATTTTCCAAAATATTTCATTTGAGCCTCATGAAATCTGATGCTGTGAGGCTTGAGGACTCATCCTTCAGGACTTAGACTTGCTCCTCTTATGATTTCAACCACTGACCCATGCTAAGGTTCAGCATTCGCCTGGGATTTGGCTCAGCTAACATTGGCTCTCTGTGTTTCATCATTCACAGGTTACTCCGGCCAGGACTTTGACTGGGCGGATTATCATAAGCAGCACGGGGCRGAAGAAGCACCTCCCTTCTGCTTTAGAAACGTAAGAAACTTTCGTCTTAGCTACTTTTTAAAATCATAGATATTGTTCAGAGTAAGTTTTAAAATTTGCTTTCTATTGATGGACCATTTTGGAGTACCACACATGGAATGAAGCAGCAGGAAACTTTGTTTTTGAAAAGTAATCTTTCTTTCAGGTTGTGTATTTGTTAGGATAATGCTGGGTTTGTAACAAATTGACACATAAATGTACAGTGTCTTAAACACATGAAAAGTCCATTTCTTGCTTAAGGAGAAGTCCAGGGTGTTCCTGATTAGTGGAGTCTTGGGCTCCATTGGTCACCTGATTGCAAGCAGGTAGGAAAAAAGCTAGGAGCTAAGGTCCTGGTTCCAAGCACAGTAGCCTGGTGCTGAAAAATTCTTCTCCACCTTCTGTTGGTGAGAATTGTCTCTGGACTGCTGTAAGTGAAGTCAAGAAATGGGTCCTGGGTTTCTTTTCCCAGCTGCCATTCCATGCTGTGGAAGGAGGAGGACGGATATTGGACAGCTACCATCTGTGCCAACATTAGATGTACACTTGCCATGTATTGTAATATTGACCAGCTCATTGATAAAGGACTTTTTTGCTCTTAAGGCTTATTAAAAATAGTGGTTTTTTTCCCCCTTGATTGCTTTATGAAATATTCTGATTACTAGTAAGATTCAAGTTAAATAGTTTTGTGCTCTGCTTACTTTAAGCTCTTATTGGCATAATAATAGGATTTATATGACACATAAAGTAGCAATAAGTCATAAGAGGTGGTCTTGTAAAATAACTATAAAATTATTCATTTAAGCTTCATCAACCTTAGGAATTATGACAAGGAGTATGGAATATTATCTACTTTAAGAATGAAGTGTAAATAGGTAGCCTGGTGTGTGTAACATACTGTTAGTGATGAATGTTAATCTCTTAGGCTGAGAACAAAAGGTACAGTTCTCTTGCTTGGAACCTGTAGACACAGCAGTGTGAAGGAGAAACTTGTTTCTGAAGGTGCTGCTGACTCGTTGCCTCCCCCATGGTGATTTGTGCTCCAGGGATCACAGAACAGGAAAAGTGAGAGGGGAGAGTGTTGGCTTAAAAGAAGTTCAAAACTGAGCATATGTCAAATGCAGATTTTGAAAAATTAAGTGGGTCGATGGCTGGGTCAACTTGTACTCATAAATACAAACAAAGCAGCTCAGTGGTAGAGGTGGGAACTGGAAATCAGGGCCCCTTAAATGACTAACTGGCCTCTCCGCTGGCTATCATTGACTTCACACATAAGCGGTTTCTCTGTAGCAGTCAAGGACTGTGTGGTATGTGGTCAGGTGGTCATTGGGGACAGCTGTGTGGCCATGCCCATGAGGATTGCAGCTGAGGAGCCCCAAAGGCTTCCTAGGTCAAGTGTCGCCTTGCCTGACTTTTCTCCATGCTGCTGTCACTACCTCAGAATCCACTGGCCTGACCACCTTTCATTTAGGACCGTGGACACTCCCTGTATCGCTCTCACGCCTGTTTGAGATTGTGCTTCCTACCTCACAAGAGAAATACTCCTTCCCCATTTCTTCTCTTTGGGAAGCAAAAACGTCGCCCCTGTTTCTGTGGTTAGGGAGTACCTCCACTGTGACAGCGGTGCTCCACCAAAGCTTCTCTTTGTCTGTCCTTTGCTCTCATTCAGCCTGGAGTCCTCCAAGTGGCTTCTAATGGTGGAACAAGTAGCCACATCACCAGTTGACTTCTGAGCTGATCCAGGATCTAGCTACCAATATTAAATCTGCTGTAATGAATTTGCTGCCGTGTTCATTAGGAATGCCTTTGTTTCTGGCTCTCCGTTTATTTAACAGACAGAATTGTTGTCTGCCTGTTGGCATATGCATCGCATTACTGGTACTTTGCTGTATTTGTTAGCTTGCTCCACGTGCTCCTTAATGGAATGCTTATTATGAATTCATTTTTTAATCACACATCTCATGTGTGCTAGAAGGGAGCCGGTGTGGAATTGGATGCATGGAAGACATTTCCCCCGGGATGTTTAACAATCAGAGGCAGTTAGGAAATGGATCGACACAGCCAAATGCTTAGTAAAATAAACTCATAGGTAACAGTTTTGCTATTGATCCTTTAAATTACCTCAAGCAGGGAGTTGAAGTGAAAATTGGTTGCATGGTTGTAGCTTTCCCTTATTAAGTAGAATAAAATGCATTTTAACTTACTTAGAGGTTTTTCAGGCAGCTATCGAGTTGTGTTATCAGAAAGAAGCTCAATACATAACATGTGTGGATGAGACAGGATGACTTGCAGAAAAAAATAGCCCACCGAGAATATCTCTGGAAAGGGACAAATTGATTTTTTAACATAATAATAGCTACTTCTCTTCAGATTATATAAAGATATAATTTCATTTTTCAACTGAAGTTTTATGAAGGGCAGGTAAATATGAATTACTTTGATTCCTTTCCCTGAGTCACAGAAATATGTAGTCTCTGTGGCTTAATAGGAACCTGTTTACTTTAGTTTACATACTTAAAACTAGATCTGTTTTAGAGAGTATTACACGTCCCATTATAATTTATCTTTTGGGGGGAGTACTGGGCTGGGGATTGAATTTAGGGGCACTTGACCATTGAGCCACACCCCAGCCCTATTTTGTATTTTATTTAGAGTAAGGTTCTCACTGCATTGCTTAGGGCCTTCCTAAATTGCTAAGGCTGGCTTTGAACTCGCCGTCCTCCTGTCTCAGCCTCCTGAGCCACTGGGATTATAGACATGCGCCACTCTGCCCATCTATAATTTTTTTTAATATTTTTTTTTAGTTGTCAGTGGACCTTTATTTATTTATATGTGGTGCTGAGACCCAAACCCAGTGTCTCACACACGCCAGGCTCTACTACTGAGCCACAACTCCAGTCCTATTAGAATTTATAGTAGCTAATGATTGGGGAAATTTTTCATATTTACTTAAAAATAATSTTAGGAGGGAGTTTTGCTTCCGGTATTAGCTGAGTCAGCCCATACTGAATTGACCCTCCTGTAGGTAGCAACTGGACACTGTACCAAAAACCCCATATGGGGGCAGTGGAGGACAAATCAGAATAGGCCATTGTGGTCAGGGGGAGTGGTCAGAAGGAAGCAGCAGTGTGGTCATTTGTCCCATTCTGAGAACAGCCAGAGTTGGCAAGGTGCGGGATAGCTACAGAGAGATGCAGACCTCACAGTCTTCTGCACTGGTGAAGCATGTTGTTGAATTTGGGTGATCACAGGTATTGGAAGTTGAGGGGAGTTTCCCACGGGGAGCATCAAGAGGGGAAAGCATGGATCCTGTATGTGGTGCCCCTGTTCTCTTTGGTTGAATCATGTCTGTGCCAGGATGAGGACAATTACACGTGGTATCATCCCTCAGACCCTGCTAGCCTAGATGAGGGCAAAAGAACAGGACCGAGAGCTTTCTGCTTCTCAAGATGGACTTTGATAAATTGGCATCCTTGGTAAGAATGTAACACAATCCACTGTCTCCATACCATAATGTTTAYAATGTACAAGTTTCAATCCAAAGTTGCTCAAGACAGGGAAAAACTGGAAAATTGATTCATTTCCAATAGGAAAGATATATAGACCAAACCTAGCATGATCCGGATGTTGAAAGTAGCAAACAAATATTGAAAACCCTTCCTGTGACTATTTAAGCTCAGTGATGTGGAACATGGTTCTCAATGTGGTCCCTATACCGGTAGCTGCAGGGTCACCTGAATATTTGTTGGAAATACAAATTCTTTACCTCCACCTATAATCAACTGCATCAGAAACTGGGGAAGGCCCAGAAGTCTGCTTTTTCAAAAGCTGTCAACATGATTGTGTGATATACCTTAAGTTTGAGAACCATACATGTAAAGGAAAATATCCTCAATATAAAAAAGAGAAATTTTGAACCAGGTGTGGTGGTACACACCTGTAATCCCAGTGACTTGTGAGGCTGAGGCAGAAGGATGGCAAATTTGAGGTCAGCCTAAGCAACTTAGTGAGACACTGTGTCAAAATAAGAAAAAAAAAAAATGGCCTGGGAATTTAACTCAGTGTAGAGTGACCCTGATTTCAATCCTTACTATTGCAGAGAGAGAAATTCTATAATTGAGAAACACAGTACCTGCAATAAACGAAATTAATAGCAGAATGGAGATAATAAAGGAAAGAATCCATGACCTTGAATGTAGAAATTATCTAAAGAATAGAGAGAAAAAGATTGTCAAGGAGAAAAAATGACAAGTGAAATATCAGGTGTGTGAGGAATAAGACCATGTACAATTGGAAATTCAGTGGAATAACAAAAAGCAGCACATCACATAAGAAGCTATCTAGAAGACAAAGAAATGGGGGGGGGAATGCCCAGTGTCATTGCTCAATAGAATAAACCAAGTATAAAACCACAGTGAGGTGCCACTAGATCCCATAGAATGGCTAAATTGTGAAAAGCCAGCAACACCAAGTGCCAATGAGTATTTGTAGCAGTACGGTGCTGGGGGAATGTAAAATAGCATGGCCACTTTGGAAGACAATTTGTCAGTGCCTTAGACAGTTAAACATTCATCTACCATGTGGTCCACAGTCTGATTTCTGGAGAATTGAAAAATTAATGTTAATAGTTTAATTGCATCCTCCCACAATTCATTATTTTTTACCCTTGGGTGTCTCATAATGTGGAGGAAGGATCTTCAAAGAAGTAATCAGTGTAAATGAAGTCATATGGCTGAGCCCTAATCCAGTATGACTTGGTGTTCTTATAAGAAGAGAAGTTGGAAGACAGACCTACAGAAAGGGAAGACCCCATGAGGACACAGGGAGAAGACCTGTACCCACAAGCAGAAGACCTCCAGTCTCCAGGACCATGAAGAAATAATTCTCTGTGGTTTAAACCACCCAGTCTCTGGTGGTTTTGTTATGGTAACCAGAGCAGCTTAGTGTACTTCCATTTCCACAAAATCTTGTACCCGAATGTTTATAGCAACTTTGTTCACATTCACTGAATATTGGAAAGCCCTCCAGTGTGCCTTAACTGGCAAATGGCTGAACTGTGGTACGTCTATGTAAACTACTCAGACATAAAATGGAGCAGACTATTGACTCATGCAGTGACATGGGTGGATCTCAAATGCAGTTTACTTACTAAGGAGCCAGGTTCTAAAGCCTCCACACAGTGTGGTTCCATTAATATGACACTGTAAGATAAAAAGACAAATTGAGAGGAATTTTTAAAAAGAGTTTGGTGTTTGCTAGGGATCCAGCATTGAGGAGGGACTGATTATCAAAGGGCCAGCGCAAGGGAGTTTGGGGGTTGAAGGAACTGTTCTTTCTGTCCTTTGATTGTGGCTATAGACATGTGCCTGTGTGTTAGTCTAACAGTCCTACCTTCAGGGAACAGCACACCCCAAAGAGTGAATTTTACCATAGGTAAAATTTCAAAAGTTAATTTAGGAAGCAAATATGAATAAACAGAACAGAAGGAAAATAAAAATGAGTTCAGATTTAAAAAACCAAGGGTGGGTGGGGTGTGGATCCATCACCACGGTACTTTAAGACATGCTAAAGGGCAGTCTTCAAAGAAAACAAGGCCAGATGGATACTCCATGTGCCCACTTCAACACCCTCAAATATGCCTAGTTACGATTTTTAGCCAAGGAATATAGGAAAGCGGAAGAAATGATGTGTGTATCTGTAATCCTGTGGAAGTAAGGGCATGTGCAGAACTGGAAAGACTGTATTCATATCCTGATTCATTTATCGGGCGCCCACTGTTTGCCAAGCAGAGTTCTAGTTTTTGGATTGCCAAAACGAAACGTGCATTGTTCTTTCTTCACAGATGGGGGGAACAGTGAATGTGCAGACCAGCCCTCCTCCTGTCCTGGGATGAGACGAGGGCGCAAGTCTATCTTCACCCGACGTGCTCTGCCCTTATTCTGCTGGGGTAGCTCTGGTCTCAGTGCCAGTTCTGTTTCTCTTTCAGACATCCTTCAGTCGGGGTTTCACAAAGAACATGAAACTGGAAGCCGTGAACCCCCGGAATCCAGGAGAACTCTGTGTGGCCTCTGTGGTCAGCGTGAAGGGGCGGTTGATGTGGCTTCATCTGGAAGGTAGGCCCAGTTGGTGTGCATTCGGCAGAGCTGGGGCCTGTCTGGAGACGGCAGGGTGCAGACATTCAGTCTCAGGGAGGGGGGGTGAAGGGGTGGCGTGTGTGGCTTCCCCTGTATTTAAACAGATCTTAAATTATTCAGTGTTCTTAAATAAGTGAAACAAATCAAATATAAATTCTCTCGGAGGCACTCATCTTAACTAATAATTTTGTGAAATGAGATGCTGGTGAGATAATTATGTTTGGAACACAGTGGTCTTTTTACATCTATGATTATAAAAGCTAATGTCACAATTAAATTAATATGAGTCACTAAAAATGGTATTTGAGGTCTTGGTTATTATGAGAATAAAATTATATGTTTGCATTTTAATGTGAATAATACCCTTTACTTTAGTTTCTTCTGTGGACGTTTAATTTTTTCTCAAAATATTATTGGGGGATGACTTTCTCCCTAAATAGATAATAAACAAGATTTATTCTTATTTCTTCAGTGATGTTGAAATTGTTCTTTATAGCTACAGTTTATTTACAAGTGTTCATAAAGTTCACAGAACAATTTTTTCTTTTCTTTTTTTTTTTTTGTGAATAGAAACTTAAACAGATTTTAGATTCAGGCAGAAGACCATGTTTTCAAGATGTATATTCTAAGGTTTTCCCATCTTTCATTGATTTCTGTAATTTTGAGGTCTTTTTAATTTAATTTCATGGAACTCAGTAGTTATTTCAAATATATATATGCAAAAGATAAGAACGGCTAATGAGTAGTAAAACATTTAGCTTTCCTGTCTAGGCATAGTTTAACTCTTAAAAGTGCTGATACCACCAGTGGAGCGTGAAGTTTGGAGGGAAGGTCTAGAAATGGGTCCTGATCTCTTCTCATCTTTATTTCCTTAGTAAGCAGTCTAAAAATGCATGAAAACTTAGATGCTCCTGCAACCTCATAAATATTGTAGTAGATTGGAAAATGTAGAGAATGGTCATTTTAGAGGTGATTGTGTTGTTAATTCCCAGAACATAGTTTAAAGCACTGATGTGGTTTAGGGTTTCACAATCAATGTGAAATAAATGGTAATTCTCAAAACATTTATTGCTTAGTGGATTTTTCAAGTAGAGCAGCTTCTGTTTGGAATGAACAAAAATATAGACACAGGCAAAATAGTGGTATTTCTGTAGCTACTGGAACAGAACGTGAATGTCTTCATTGCTGTCCATAGAGTTAAGTCATGTGCTGTTGGAGACACAAGATCCCTTCTGTGATTTCTGATCACTAAAGCTAACTTGCTCTCTAGCACTGTGCTGAGCCATGGTAATAAGATCAGTCTTATTTGCATTATTAATTTGAAAACAAAAACGATAAAGTTAGAAGCCTATGTTTCATCATTATTACTTAGCACATTATGGTTCAAATTCTTTGGCAGTCTTTATTTATTTAGCAGTTTCTACTTTCAGTGTGCATTACAGCTGTTAATTACCTAACACAAACAGCACTGAGAGTGTCCTGATTTTTATAAATGGAGAAACTAGCAAAGCCATTAAGATGTGCCTGGGGTTCATGTCTGCTGCTCTTGATATTTTTCTCAGTTGCTTCATCCGCTAGGATCATAGAGCTTCCCGCTTCTTAAAAAGAGTGCTGGGCAATGTAGAGTATGTGTCTAATATTTTTTGATAGTATTTCTCCTTTTTGAATATAAAGTTCTGGTTTATAGCAAAAAAAAAAAAAAAGGAAGTCAGCTCATGTCAGTTCTTCTTACTCTCTGGAGTACTTTGTGCAGTAATGAAAAGGAGTTAACATTAGGAAACAGATCAGAAAACAGATGATTCGTGTTTCAGAACTTAACTCATATTTTTAAAAAGTGCTTTTGAACAATCTGTTGAATATTATAGTATTGCTTATTGAATATCATCAGGAATTATTGGTCAAAATCTCACATCTGTCTCATCACTTAAAAAACATGCACAGATAAGGTAAAATTCCAGTCTGTCTGCTTGGCTTCGCTTGAGTTTCGTTTTGGGTTCTATTTTGTTTTTCACCTTTATTGAGAATTTGCTTTTTATGGTGGTTATTTCTTGTTATTTTATGTGTATATTTATTTCTTATTATTTTATAGRTACATATAAATAAAATTGTATATAATTTATATATATGTATGTGTATATATATATATGTGTGTGTGTGTGTGTATATATATAAATATATATTTATATAAAATAACAATTCTGGGGCTAAAATGATAGGAATTCATTATGGTCATTTTGTTACTATTAAATTATTTTATACAATGATTATTTTTCTGATAATAGACCATTTATTTGACACTTGAAACTTAAAATGTACTTTTAACAATTTTATTCATTATTTTTATGCATTAAACTGAAATCTTTTCAACACATGGCTTAACACTTTAGGTAATTAAAATGATCATTTCTCATTCATATTTGACTTTTCTGGAAGTTCATTCATTCATAGGTATCTATAAAGGGTCTGTTGTTGTAAAGGAAGCAATGAATAAAGGATCTGAGATTAAAGTCGTATTGTTTAGGTCCACATGGAGGAACTCTAAGCTCTGACAAAGCACGCATAGGAAGGGCAGTGTGTGATGCTGGGGGTTAGTGTTTGGGGATGAGGTGGAGGTTCTCTTATTTTTGCCTTCCGCTGTAGATACTCATGTCTACAGTCAGATACTCATGTCTACAGTCAGGACGTGATTGTGTAACATGGGTCAGGGATATTGCAGCGGTGTATGCTGGCTCCCACACCTGAGCCTCTGTCTTCTCTCAACCAAGTAACTTCAGATTTGTTCCAGGTTGTTCTCTCATGGGACGAATGTCTCAGACATGACACGAATGTTTCCCTCATGCTACAGGCTCTGGCTCTTCCATTAGGAGGGTTCCCATCATGGTGTTGCCTTCCTTAGCTTCTCTCATGAGCTGCACTTTTCCAGACACATAACTAAACACATATGGAATGTAACACTTATGCCTGGGACCAGAGGTGTTTCAGACTTAGGGTTTTTAAAATTTTTTTTTAAATATTTGCATGTACATTATGAGATATCTTAGGGATAGGACTCAAATATAAACATGAAATTCATTTATGTTTCTTGTACACATAGCCTGAAGGTAATTTTATATGTTCTTTTAAATAATTTTGTGCAAAAAATAGAGATTCCTGGTGTGGAATTTTTTACTTACGGTGTCATGACCATGCTCACACAGTTTCTGATCTCAGGGTTTCAGATTAGGGATGCTCTGCCTGTGCGTACACAAGCACAACTTCATTTTACACCTCAAACAGACCCAGTGGAATTGCAGCCTGCATTTCCAGGGATTAATGCAGTAGGTCAACAAGACCTTTGACCAGGTCAGCTTTTTATCCATAGTTCCACAACAGAGAGATTTTATTGAAAAAAAACACCATTATTTTACTTTTGAATAATTGTAGTAAAGTATACATGATGTAAAAGTTCTCCATGTTAACTAACCTTTTTCAAGTGTGTATTCAGTGGCATCAAGTATGTCCATGCTGTGGGCCACCATCACCACCGTCCACCTCCGGAGGTTCCCTCTTACAGAATTGAAGCTGCACCCATGAAACAAAACTCTACTTCCTTCACCCCAATTCCTGGCAACTTTTGTTCTGCTTCTTGTCTCTCTGAAGTTACTACTCTAGGGACCTTGTGTGGATGGAATCATACAGCATTTGTGTGAGGACAGCTCTTTGCAGGATTTGCTACTAGTAATGATGCTTTTATGTTTACATACTGATGGTTTATATAATAACCTGTCATATGGTCTTCTTAATCTTCAAAACCTGGCTACCTCCTCAGCCTGTAGGAGGCTCATAGCTTAGTCAGGGTTAAAGAATTTGTTGACGGTGAAATGAAATGAAATCTAGAGAAAGTAAAAAAAAAAAAATTTCATGATCAATGATGGCAAAGCAATTCTAGAAAGTTCAGTCTGTGAATTCATGCTTACATATAGCTTTAGGCGGTATGTTTTTAGAGTCCAGGAATTGCATAGGTGTACCATGAACTTCATATTCCAYATTGGCGAGCAAAGTACATGTATGGCCCGTGCCTGTGTGGTCCCGATTTCTTCAGGAGCATGTCGGAGCTCTCTAAGTCTATAGGGTATTGGGGATGGTGCTGCATTCCTTTTCTGCACCCTTAAGGATTGGAATGCAGCAAGACCCCAGGCAGGAGAACATGCCTGCACTGCCTGGGTTTCTGCACCTGTGTTCCTGGCAGGGATGGTGGGAGGCTGCTGGGACTTCCTCCTTACCTCTAGGTAAGAGGGTTAGTGTGTTCTCCATCTCTTGCTCTGGTTGGTTGGTTCTCTCTCTCTTTTTTTTTTTTAAACTTGTGATACTTTCTTTTTCTCTCTTTTTTCTCTTTAAATCTCTCTATTGTCATTTGTGATCATCTCTGGAATGTTTCCTGTCCTCTCATCAGCATTTGATCTTCATTGGCCCTCTTTCAAAGTCTCTCCTCCTGTTTTTCAAGAATTCTGGGCCAGGCAGGTTTGTCTTCCCTCAGTCTCCCCCTTCTTAGATAAGTTTTCTTGGCTTCACTTTCGTTTTGAGTTTGGGACTCATCAAAGTCCTCCTTCTCACCCCTCTGCACAGCCTCACTTTCCCCATGACTTCAGATGGCCACTCTGTCAACGAATCCGAGTACCCCTCACTGACAGTGAGCACATTCATCACCCCATCGTATCCCCTGCAGATGCCTCCATGTGGGCATCGATTTAAATACAACCCTGCCTCTGCTCCTCCTGACCGTCCTGCCTGGCTCAGTGGGACCATTTTTCTACCAGAGTTAGACCACGAAATCTTCCGAGTTAGAAGCTCTAAAGTAATTTTTGACTGTTGCTCTTCCAGGATCCTTTAATAACACATTTGTTACTTGGTCCTGATCTCGTGTGTGTTGTCTTTTCACTGCCACACTGCGACTCAGGTCTCTGTCCCCTTGCCCTCACAATTCCCTTGGTCTCCTCACT